CTGCTCCACTGAAGAGGACTGAACGAAAGTTCCTGAGAAGTAGACCTGTGATCCAGAAGACATCCAGGGCTTTCTTCACCTTCTTCATTTATATGGCTTCTGTACACTCTTTCCTTTGTCCTTAACATTTTCTGAAATTAACTTATTCAATGCTTTTGAGTCTTTTTAAATGACATGGAGCTGTTTTCACAAACTTTCACAAACAGATCTTGTAGTGCCTGCTCACCCACAACAGCCTTTATAAAGAACAAAGTAGTAAAACCCAACCACTGAGGCTTTTTAGCTTCTTGCCACTCTAGTTGCACAGCTGAATGCAGTAGTGGTTCAGTTTCTACCCTCAGAGAGCTTTCTAAGAAGCTGCTGTGTGTGTACAATGAAGAAAATGAATGCTTCTTTGAATGCAAAAGACATCTCAACTTTGCCCCAAAAGTCTTTATTCCACAACTTTTGCGTGATGCAAAGAAAAGCACTGGGAGAAAGACGAGGCTTGCTACTCCCGTAAAGATTTACAGTCTTGCAAACCCTATACAGGGTTGCTGTGAGTCGGAACCGACTCCATGGCACACCATCACCACCTTATAGCATACGCATAGATTTCAGGTTGAGGAACTCTCAAGGTGATATGGAAAATTCAACCATCTTTTTTGCAAGATGCAAACACTGTACATAAAGTAAGAGGGAGACAGGACTGCAAACAAGGAAAGTCTGCTGCAGCATTTTAGCCATTATTCAAATGGACTTGAGTAACTTTAGTTGTTCTGTTAGCAAAACTTCTACTTACTTAAACTGCTTCAAGAAAACAGTATATTTTATTGTTGTTGTTGCTGTTGTTGAGTACCGTTGAGTTGGTTCTGACTCATAGCGAATTTGTAAAGGGTTTCCAAGGAGTGGCGGTGGGTTTGAACTACCAACCTTGTGATTAGCAGTCCAGTGCTTATCCTACAGCTCCATGTTGTTGTTGTCAGGTGCCATCGAGTCGGAATCGACTCATAGCGATCCCATGCACAGCAGAATGAAACAATGTCTGATCCTGGGCCAACCTCACTACTGCTGCCACACTTGAGTCCATCAATGATTCCACTTGGTCGATCCATCTCGTTAGGGGTCTTCTGCTTTTTCTCTGACCCTCCATCTTACCCAGCATGACATCCTTCTCCAGCGACTGTTCCCTCTGGACAATATGTCCAAAGTATGAGAGGCGAAGCTTAGCCATCCTGGTCTCCAAGGAGCACTCTGGCTGCACTTCTTCCAAAACTGATCTATTGGTTCTTTTGGCAGTCCATGGCACTTTTAGTATTCTCCTCCAACACCACAACTCAAAGGCATCAATTCTTCTACAATCTTCCTTATTCACTGTCCAGCTTTCACATCCATATGAGGTTATTGAAAATACCATGGCTTGGGTCAGGCACACCTTAGTCCTCAAGCTGACATGTCTGCTCTTCAACACTTTAAAAAGTTCCTGTGCAGCAGATTTGCCCAATGCAATATGTCGTCTGATATCGGACTGCTGCTTCCATGAGTGTTGATAGTTGATCCAAGAAGAATGAACTCCTTGACAACTTCAATCTTTTCTCCGTTGATAAGAATGTTGTTTATTGGTTCAGTGGTGAGGATTTTTGTTTTCTTTACATTGAGATGTAATCCATACTGAAGGCTGTGCTCTTTGATCTTCATCAGTAAATGTTTTAAGTCCTCTTCACTTTTAGCAAGCAAGGTTGTATCATCTGCATATCGCAGGTTGGTTGTTAATGAGTCTTCCTCCAATCCTGATGCCACGTTTTTCTTCATAGAACCCAGCTTCTCATGTTATTTGCTCAGCATACAGGTTGAATAAATATGGTGAAAGAACACAACCTTGTCGCACACCTTTCCCAATTTTTAAAACATTCAGTGTTCCCATGCTCTGTTTGAACAACTGCTTCTTGGTCCAGGTACAGATTCCTCAGAAGTACAATTAAATGTTCTGGAATACTCATACTTCTCAATGTTGTCCATAGCTTGTCATGATCCACACAATCAAAAGTCTTTGCGTAGTCAATAAAGCATAGGTAAACATCTTTCTGATATTCTCTGCTTTCAGCCAAGATCCACCGGACATCAGTAATGATATCTCTCATTCCACGGCCTCTTCTGAATCCAGCTTGAACATCTGGACGTTCTCTGTCAATGTATGATTGTAGCCGTTTCTATAGTACCTTTAGCAAAACTTTACTTGCTTGAGATATCAAAGAGATTGTCTGATGATTTCCGTATTCTGTTGGGTCACCTCTCTTTGGAATGGGCACAAATATGGATCTCTTCCAATCAGTCGGCCAGATAGCTGTCTTCCAAATTTCTTGGCAGAGATGAGTGAGTGTCTCTTGTGCTGCCTCACTTTCTTGAAAGATTTCAATTTTTATTCCATCAATTCCTGGTGCCTTGTTCTTTGCCAATTCTTTCAATGCACTTTGGACTTCCTCCTTGAGTATCTTTGGCTCTTCTTGTTCATATGGTACCTCTTGAAATGGTTGAACATTAACCATTTCCTTTTGATACAATGATTCTGTGTATTCCTTCCATCTTCTCTTGATGCATTCTGCATCATTCAATAATTCGATAATTCAACAGCTCCATGCCAGGGCCTTATTATTAAGCAATGTATTATACTGGCTGAGAAGGTATTTGGCAGAACCATCTAGAAATAGCAGTGACAAGGGCATGCCCAGTAAGATACCACCCATTACAAAAGGTGATGGGCTTTCAGGGGGTCTTGGTTTCTAAAGCACAGGGTGAGTCCAACTGTAAAAGGAGCCTATGAGTCCAATGGAATAATGGACCAAATGAACATCAGTCTCCATGACGCTGACACCAGAAAAATGACCACAACCAACTGCTCTGAAAGTGATCACATTAGAAAGTTCTTAATAGAGTGGGGAGAAATGTGGAACAAAACTCAAAATCATAAAAAAGACCAAGCTTACTGGCCAGATAGAGACTGGTGGAACAGAAATACTCTAGGCCATAGGCACCCTTCGGCTCTGGAACTGAACTCACCCCTGTAGCTAAATTTTCAGTCAGGCACTATTTAGATATATAGGAGAGACAACAACACTAGTGTGGTACACACACCATAGAAGGCTCAACCATTCAAGGTCAAAAGTGCAGCATTTACCGTGACTCAAAATTCTCACCGAATGGAAGGATTCTTCATATCAAGGAATAATCTGTTTCCTCAGTGTACTGGGTTAAGGATGAGAAATTTAGACACTGGATATCAAAAATGGGGGGGGTTACAAAAGCATGAAGTGGCTGCCTTTCATGAGTGTGCTTCATGGCAGAATGGGGGGTTGGGAAGGAGAGTCATAGAAAGCAGAAGGGATAAGAAAATAAGATCTTTCAATATGCTGATTACAAGAGACACGTGAAAAAGACGGAGACAGCCTCAAGACCCATCCATATAAGAATGGTTAAACTAACTTTGGTACATACACACAATGGAATACTACAAAATGTTGAAGAAGAAGAATTAATCTGTGAAACACTTCACAACATGTGAACCTGGAGAGTGAAATTAGTCAATCACAAAAGGACAAATATTGTATGAGATCAATGTTGTAAAACGTTAAAAAAAAAAAAAAGGTTTTCTTGATAAAGTAACAATCTATGATGGTTATGGGGTAGGGTGGGGGTAGTATTTATGAGCTAGAGGGTAGCCACATGGTAACACGGGTGACAAGGCAGGCAATATACAAGAAGAGGAGCTTAGCAGAGGAAAGATGAAGGTAGCAGGAGACACAGGGAGCAATACAATAGTTAAAGTGACTAGAGGTAAATACTGTTAACTGTCGGTACATGGAGGGGACTGCAACTATGTAATGAAGCAATGTATATGATTGGTTGAATGTAAAACTGATCATCTGCTCTGTATACCTTCACTCAATTTACAATAAAAAGTTGAAGAAAACAAAACAAAAATGCAGTATTTACCCAAGGACAAAATTCAGAAGAGTTGGGGAAGAAAGGTAAAGAAATGGGAAACAGGGAGGAAGTGGGACAGTTGGAGTTACACGGAGGGAATGACAGTCATTGAGATGGAATGAAGTGTATGATTTGTTGGATGTAAAACTGATGATCTGCTCTGTAAAGCTTCACAATAAAAAGTTAAAAAAGAAAAAAGAAATAGCTTATGAATAGAATAAAAGGAGTTCCATTCACCTAGACAATAATACTGAAGTCTTATGTTTAAAGTTCTGGATTCTAATAAACTCTGTTGAAACCACATTGTCAGAAATTCAGTATAAAAACCAAAGTCTGTTTGACACTGAATTCTCACTCTGGTTTACGTCTGTCTCTATTTCTGGAGTGGAGTCCTTGGGTGGTACACATGGTTAGTGCTCTCTGTTGTTAACCGTAAGGGAGGCTGGATGCTCAAGTCCACCCAGAGGTGCCTAAGAAGACAGGCCTGGTGATCTGCTTCTGAAAAATCAGCCTTTGAATACTGACGGTGTGCGGCTCTACTCTGACGCACATAGGACCACTCTGAGTAGGAGCTGACTTGACAACAAGTAGTAAGTTCTGCAGTAAAAACTACTCAAAAGCAGTTTTACTTGACTTTGCATGCTAGCAGCTAAAACTCAGTAGGTGCTAACTATTCACTTACAGAATAAATGTCAGGTTATCCTTGATTAGCAGCACGAGAGCTCAAAGATGCCCAGTTAAGGGGTTAAATAAACATGTGACTGATTCTGGAGCTGGGAGCCAAAGCTTCTCCATCTGGTCCAAACCTTCACATTCCCATTGCATTCTGTCAATTCTTGGAGAGGAATATAGGACACTTCTTTGGGTGACGGTGGATAGTGTGTGATCTCCTGGCCACACTCTTTCCTTAGAGGTGACCCTTATCCCTGTCCAATCCTGCAACCCTCTGGCTAACAGCTAACATTTGGTGAGTGTGTTCGTGACAAATGACTGAGTTCCTAGGGGTGACTTGGGCACCACTGGTCCACAGGGACACTTACCAAGGGCTCCAGCTCCTTGCGGTCTATGAGGTTCATCTCCGTGACAAAGTAATAAAAGTGTTTGTAGCAGGTGTTGACGTGGGCCTCTGCACCCATCACAATGACCCGATCGAAGTGGTGGATGTAGACGTGGACGAAGACACGAAAAAGGCGGCACAGGATCTTCTTGCAGATCTGAAGGAAGTTCTTTGGGAAAGGAACACCTAGAGAAGAAAACAAAACAAAACAAAAGTACTGAAATGCTAATGGTGACGCTGTGGTGGGTGTTAGAGCATGAGAGCCTGTCTGGAAAACAGTTCTGGCTGTGAGTTGGCTAAGCTGAGGCCCACCCCTCCTGGGACAACTGCAGCAGAGCAACAATGGCAAGAATCACAGAAAAATCAAAACCAGGGAAGAGGGCTACGTTTGTTTCTTTGCCTGTATCTTTTTGATAGGATGTACTTTGCATATTAAACATGCAGAAATAACATTTTGGAAATGGTAAAGCTATATGTTGTTGTCAGGTGCCACTGAGTCATAACCGACTCATAGTGACCCCATGCACAGCAGAACGAAACAATGTCTGATCCTGGGCCAACCTCACTACCGCTGCCACACTTGATGCCATCAATGATGCCACCTGGCTGATCCATCTCGTTGGGGGTCTTCCTCTTTTTCTCTGACCCTCCATCTTACCCAGCATGACATCCTTCTCCAGCGACTGTTCCCTCCTGACAATATGTCCAAAGTATGAGAGACGAAGTTTAGCCATTTTGGCCTCCAACGAGCACTCTGGCTGCACTTCTTCCAAAACAGATCTATTGGTTCTTTTGGCAGTCCATGGCACTTTCAGTATTCTCCTCCAACACCACAATTCAAAGGCATCAATTCTTCTATGGTCTTCTTTATTCACTGTCCATCTTTCGCATCCATATGAGGCTATTGAAAATACCATGGCTTGGGTCATGTGCACCTTAGTCCTCAAGGTGACATCTCTGCTCTTCAATACTTTAAAAAGTTCCTGTGTAGCAGATTTGCCTAATGCAACACATTGTCTAATCTCTTGACTGCTGCTTCCACAAATGTTGATAGTTGATCCAAGAAGAATGAGGTCCTTGACAACTTCAATGTTTTCTCTGTTTATAAGAATGTTATTTATTGGTCCAGTGGTGAGGATTTTTGTTTTCTTGACATTGAGATGCAATCTATATCAAAGGCTGTGTTCTTTGATCTTCATCAGTAAATGTTTGAAGTCCTCTTCACTTTCAAAAAACAAGGTTGTATCATCGGCATGTTGCAGGTTGTTAATGAGTCTTCCTCCAATCTTGATGCCACGTTTTTCTTGGCACATGACATTGTGCATTTGTTAAAAGTCATAAGACTTTTATATAAAACACAAAGAGAGAAGACCCTGATGTAAAATATGGGATTTAGTTGAATAGTAATGTATCAGTCTTGGAGCATCAATTGTAACAAATGTGCCCAGGAATGCAAAATGTGCATAGTGGGAGAAATAGTGGATGGGAGGGAGAGGGGGTATATGGGAACTCTCTGTACTTTCTGTACAGTATCTCAGTAAACATGAAGTTGCTCTAAAAAACAGCAACGTAGGAAAAACACACATAGAAATCCTTTTTATTTCTATAAAGAAATAAGTACTCTGTCTTCTTGCTTTCTTATTTATTCCATGGTTGAGCATAAGAGCATTCATCTTCTCTTAACTCTGATATAGAGATCTGGGAGCAGGAGAGAGATGTAGTAGGAGGAACAGTAGGGAGGGGTAGAGACTGCAGCAAATTGGAAGGCCCTTCTCAGCCCTGGGGGCAGCCGCTGCTCCACTCCAGCCAATGGCGGCCATGCGGGGATGGAGGCTCAGGGTTGCTAGAATGTCTGATTTTTCAATAGTAATCATGAAATTCAAGAATTTCAGAAGAATTCCTAAATGTGGACTTTTATGGGAACTTGCTGAACTTTTAATATGTTAGCAATGAGAGTGTTTTTCTTGTTGCTGTTTGTTGTCTAGTGGGCTCTGAGTCATGGTGACAGCCTGTGTGGAGCACAGAACTGTCTCATAAGGGTTTCAAGGTTGTGACTTTTCAGAAGTAGATGACCAGAACTGTCCTCCACAGCACGTGAAAGACTGGAAATATTGGAGGCTTTGGATCACCAATCTGTCCACTTAACCATTTAACCATCTATGCCACCTGGGGATGATTAGTCCAGTGTGAGTAATTACAGTAAACCCAGCAAACCTGTGTAAGGCAGAAACCTGTCAGAGAGGGAAGTTGCAAGTATAAAAACCAGCGACTAAAAAGTGGCCAGGTTGCATATCATATGCATCCTGTTGAAGGAGGGAAACTTTCGAGACCCGAGAAACCAGGCAATCCCATCGAGTTCTGGCTCTCATGGGTTTTACTGCATGAAAGTTTTATAAAATACCAGGAGCAAAACAAAACATCTCTGTAGGTCTGATTAGGCTTACAGGCTAACAGTTGCCTCTTTCTGATCCAAACTTTTCCTCTTGAGTGATACTGTTTCTGAGTTGGGCAAATTCAACCAATTTCATAGGTACTTTATCACACTCATTCCCACTTCATCTCATTGCAGCTGGTGATTTGGGGAGTTACGTTTTACATAACAGACAGGGTGAACAGTCAAATGGAGTCACCCAGAGTCCCTGACTGAAGACCAACCCCCAGCCTGGTCAAGGAAACAAGTAGCATGACCACACCCCCACAGCCTGTCTCCCTCCCAGTATGCCTACACCCTGCTCCTTCCAACTGTTCCTCTTGGGGTGACAGGCTGTAATGGATTTCTAAGACAAACAGACTGAAGTCCTACTCAGCTCCTTTCCAGCTGTCTGACCATGAACAAGTTATTTAACGTTTCTGAGTTTCAGCTTTTCCAGATGTAAAAGGCAGATCAAACTTCCAGTGGTTGTGGGGATTACAAGTGATTGTTGAGCAACTGTTGTTTCTCATCTGTAAAACAGGATGTCTTTACAGAGAAAGGGGACCCAAATAAGACGAACACACAATATATGAAGGAACTTCAAAAAGGTTGTGGCAAAATGGAATGAAAAGATAATGGAATTTTCCCACAAATTCAAGCTCCCTCAGATGTGTGTATGTCTGGTAGCACAGTGGTTATGAGTCAGGCTGCCAACCTCAAGGTCAGCAGTTCGAAACTACCAGCAGTTCCGCAGGAGAAAGAGGAAGCTTTCTGTTCCCGTAAAGATTTATAGCCTCAGAAACCCTGTGCAGGGTCACTATGAGTCAGAACCAACTCCACGGTACTTAACAACAACAACATATACATACATATACACGTACCAAATTTTTGTCCAAGTTGTATTGTTGTTGTTGTTAGGTGCCATTAAGTCAGTAGACATAAACAGACATATATATATACACAGAGAGACAGAAGATCATATCCTGAGTGGTCCAAATGGTTAGCAGACTCAGCTATTAGATGTTTGAGCCCATTGGGAGGTGCCTTGAAAAGAAAGCCTTGGAAATTTTGTTTCCAAAAAAAAAACCACAACGAAAACCCAGTCTCTGGAAATCCCATGGAGCACAGTTCTACTCCGACACACATGAGGTAGCCGTGACTTGGAATAGGCTAGACAGCAGTGGTTTGATATATGTTGTTGTTGTTGATAAGTGCTGTCGAGTCGAGTCCAACCATAATGACCCTGCGTAGAGTTTCCAAGGAGCAGCTGGAGAGCTTGCACCGCCAACCTTGTAGTTCAAACGACTTAGCAGTCTGACGCATTAGCCCACAGTGCCACACCAGAACTCCTTGACATATATGATGCTGGTGGTTATGTGCTGTGGAGTTGGTTCCTACTCATAGCCACCCTGTACAGGGTTTCTGAGGCTGTAAATCTTTACGAGAGCAGAAAGCCTCATCCTTCTCCTGAGGAACAGCTGGTAGTTTCGAACTGCTGACCTTGCGGTTCACAGTCCAATTTGTAGCCACTATGCTACCAGAGCTCCTTAAAGACTTATTTTAAGGAATTCGTTTATGCAATTGTGGTGGTTGGCAAGTCCAAGCGCAGGCTGGGAATCTTGGCAAGATGACAATTTACAATCTTGAGACAGAATTTGTCTTCCTCAGAGATATCTCCATACTTGTTCTTAAAATCACCACCTGATCACATGAGGCCCACCCACACTATGGAGAGTAATCTGCTTCAACTAACGTCAACTGATTTAAATGTTATCACACGTAAATACCTTCATAGCAACAACTAGACTAGTGTTTCACTAAACATTTGGGCACCAACATTTAGCCAAGTAGACATATAAAATCAGCTATCACCAACGGTCATAAGTCTTTGCTTGCAAGGCCTGGTGGCCTGTTAATGTGAGTAAAATCCTCCGACAGTGCCTAGAATGTAGGAGTCAAATAAAACCTAACTGCCTTTGAGTCAATTCCAACTCATCGTGAACGCATGTGTATCATAATACAACTGTGCGCCGTAGAGTTTTCACAGGATGATTTTTCAGGAGTAGATTGCCAGGTCTTTCTTCTGAGGTACTTCTGGTTGACCTTAAGCATTTTGGTGAGCAGCTGAGTTCATTAACCCAGGAACTCCAGAAGAGCTCTCTGAATGGGGACTTCTCCTCCATTTTTCTGCAAGACAAGGGTTTAAGTTCTCTGACTGTTGATCTAAGGAAAAGAATTACCCTTACCAAAAAAGGCCAACAGCTCCCCCCTGAAACCTTACATACACATTCATTAGTTATTGGATTTTTGTAAGCTGGTACTGAAACACCAACACAATTGTTGTATCCACATTTTAAACTTTTACAGTACAATTCTGTGGTTTCCTGAAGCAAACCAGAGGTAAATTCCTCATGGTTCTCACTGCTAGCTCTAGCATCTTACACATTTGTAACAGTGTAGTCTATGAAAACTAAACCTGATTTCAAATTCTTTTTTTTTTTTTTTAATCTTAAACCATGTACCAAGTTTTTGGTCCAAGTTGTATAGGATACATTAAATTGTATTCTATTAATCATTAGGAGTCTATTTCTATAAACAGAGTTATATTGAAATAAAGCAGCCTTTCAACAGAAGTGCAGACTTTTGTTCAGGGCATGTTCCTGAGCCCCAGGACCTAAGGGTCTGCTGTCCTGGTCCCCACAGGGACTCAGTAGTAGCAGCTGTCTAGTGAGAGACACTGTAAGGAGATCAGAACTGGGCTGGCTGAGAGCAG